TATATATGTATATATATATTTATACGGTGGATATATATGACTGTCCAAATTGGTGCTTTGGCTATTTGTGTTGTGTTCTTTGGAAGAGAATATTAGTGCAAAGTTGTAATTTTTAATATGCCCGAGCATCGAACATTTCAGTTCGCATTCACGTGGGGGTATAGCAGGAGACATCATAAATCAACTACATTGGATTTTTTCTCTTCAAATACTCTTTAGTGTGACGTGTACAAGTTTGTGTATCTGGAAAATAGTGGTCTGTTGTGTGCATTGTTTTTTATGTATTTTATGGCCAATATTTTACTATTTGCATTCGGATATGAGTCTAAGGTTAGTTTTGAGTGTCTGAGATACATATCACGTAACGGTGTGTTGGGGTTTTGACTATTTACAAGCAGTCATAGACACATGCACGCAGTGTATTTTATATGCGTCTATAGAGGCATACATGTTGTGTACGACCATGTTCTTATTTTGATATATTTATGTATCTTGTTCACTTCGGTCTCGTTTTTTCTTTTCTTACCTGTACTTGTTATTGGTTTTTTTGCATGAGCCTTGTACAAAGGATCCAGTCTGTGGTTTTACATATGTAGCTGTAAGACTAGATATATATAGGGTATCATACCTTCACATGTGTAGTATCCAATCGTCTGTATCTAGACAATTTTTTTTCGGTGAACAAAGTGTATAAAAATAATATATACGACCTAACTTTACCAAGTTTCGCGCAAGCATATATAAATACTGGTACAAAAATCCACATTCACTTTTAAGACAATAATCCAATGGACATATCAGCGATTTACGGCTGAGTATATTCTCGTATATATATAGTCCAGCTCGTACCTATATCATTTAATGGGCATATGCGCATATTCATTATGATTTATATACACTTGTTTGGATTTCTTCTGAGCCACTCACGGAACACTCCAGTGTAATGTACGCCTATGGTTTTGATTCGTTTCCGAAATGCTTATGTTTTCTCCCCACTCTGGCGCTATTCTCACTGCCAGGCGAAGAGTTGGAAGGAGTTGAACTCTATGTGCAAATCAAAAATACCCGCGAACCAGACGAAGAAACAACAGATCGAGTTTCTTAACCGTATGTGGACTGCGGTATGTCTCCCTTTATGATTGTGTTTACATTAACCAAAGTATTACTATAGTTTCATGATGTAGCAAGGTCGGTTGTCTGCGACTGTGCGCATCTGTGTGTATTTATGATTTGTGTGGTTTCCGGCTGAATGTGGTGTGCTCGACTCGTTAGGTGTATGTGTATATTGCACACGTGCCAGTGCCGTCTTGTGTGCGAGAGGAAATTAAAGTCCTTTACAAATGTCACGCACATCCCGACAGCAATGGCGTCCAGCACGCCTAACGGGTCTCTTTCTTGTTTGGTTCGCATGCGACTTAGATTTCGCATTGTTTCACTTCTTGACCAAGTCTCAACATAGCTCATTTTTGTCGAATTGTGTTTCCCTCCTTTTTGGTAACCAATTCTGTTCTCATTGTATACTTGGTAAGTTCAAAAATCGGTGACTTCCGATGGGAATCGCAGTTTCTTTGGCACAAAGCGTCTAGCTCACCTCTCTGTCTCCAGGCATTGGTTGACCTGTTATCTGCTTGTTATTTTCTTTCGACAGTTTCTTGACGCCAAAGAGCAGAAAGATCAAGAGCGACAGTGCGTGCTGCTTCTAATGTTTATAGAGTATGTTCGTTATTCCCTGCTGAAGCATGTGCACATTGAACCTTGTGAGCAGCGAGTAGCTGAATGGTTGCAAATAAGGCGTTAAGTTAGCTTTTTTTGTTCTTTTTGGATGGATCAGCCTTCATGATTGTTTGGTTGCGATGCGATATTTTTTTTTTTTGCTGATTTGAGAATTATATCTCGGTAGTGTAATTTCTATCGACTCTCACGCCCAGGATTGCCCGCATGTCGCGAATCGAATTAAGAATTGATATTGATGGTGTATTCCTAATCCCTGTTAGAATTTTGCACTAAATTGCTCAAGCTGTCTTCACCACAAATTTTTTTGCAGAGATTCGATGACCCTGGGAGTGCAATCAAGTCCTGATTTTAAGAGGGTGTGTTGAGATGTGCAGGTTTGGCTGTTTCCTAATAACTTGCGTTTGGCCGCCCACTAACTTATACTGAGTTACGCTGGAGGATAAGCCCAATCAATTCGTGTGTTTCGGTGATATTGTATATGAGTATTTGGTGATCCATTTTGGGGGGTACGTAGACAAATGTTTGTTGCCTATGAGATATTATTGGCATTAGGTCACATCCCAAAATGCATAGAAATGGGGGCGTCTTCTCGCTTTCACAGCAAGCTATCCACATAGTATCCTCATGAATTGCCGGTTGAGCATTCTATTTGCTGTCCACTGCACTATGTATCCCAATCAATGCATCCGTGGAAGCTGTGCACTTTATCCAGGCACTAAGGGGGGTTCAACAACCATCCATATATTATTAATATCAGTTTTGCTCGTATTGATACCTTTATCGTTGTATTCAACAGCGTTTAGAGCAAGCTTTCAAGCGCGCCGAGGTACTGAAAGATCAACTGAAACTTAGATACATAAGGTTAAAGGAGGAAACGAAGAAGGCTGAAGCGGAGTGTCAGAAAGAAGAAGAACTAGCCAGAACAACAACACCGTATGCTTTCGATTTAGGGGTGAGTTTGAATATAGCACGTGTATATGGGATTAGTACCAGGAAGGATGCATTTATTGTCGTAGTCGATAGAGGCGAACGAACTCTTAGTGGCTGGTTTTCGGGCAACCTGTTTTGAGAGAAAAACCTTCACCAGCCAGGGTTGAAGCACTGTTTTCCCATCGATCAAGTTTTTGTCACGAGCACAATGTTAGATATCTGGAGGTTCATCTCCATCAGCTTTAGAGCATTGGGGGATTTTTTAATGCTCGGAATTGGGACCAACCAGTTTAGTCGTGCTCATCTCCGACAGTATTGCTTCGCTGAACAGAAATCTCAGCCTATGAAGGACACGCAGCTAAGTAGTTCTGGCTCGGGTTCATCAACGTCAAAGTAAGTCTGAATGTGCACTGCTTCACGGTCTTATGTATCGAACCTCTGTCGTACCGTACTATTACGCAGATGTACTCTCCGCACTTTTGGATCAAATAGTTTTGCTTTTGTTCTAGCACATGTTCATTTGTATAGCTGTATGTTTTGTACTCGTCTCTTTCTCTGGTTGCAGAATACACTGAGGGCTTGGGTACATAAACCCGCTGAAGACTCGGGTGAATTTTCCGAAAACAAAAAACCAAAAAACCAAAAAAGAATGTCTGTGCTAGGTCATGATATCGTTTACAGGAATAAATTGCTTATTAAGTGGGACTGGCGGCGTTACGTATTCTTGTTTGCGATACAATCGAGCAGCACATAGATGCGAAGCGGCTGCCTATAGCTCTAGTGTCACATCTTGCTCATAGTCTCAATCAATAAGGTTATCCACCAGACCCGTATCTTACCACGGTCAATTCATCATTAATGGCTACCGCACAAGCGGCTGTCAAGTGCTATTATCTACTCATGTATTTTCTATAATTTGCTCATTTTGCAAATGCACAGTCCTAATAAAACAGCTCGCTATGTGCAGCCCAGAGACGTCTACGGTTGGATGGAAAGCGAAAACAGCGTCTTATTACTAGACACTCGCTCAATCAGGATATATAAGTCATTGCATATTAAGACAATACACAATTCTCATAGCGTGAGTGTCCCGGAAGAGGTTCTTACCAAGAACAAGTAAGTGAGTATACCTGTGGCTGTCATTGCAACTACATTGTGTCTGAGATCACACACGCACTCGATTTGATACAATCTCCATTCCCATTTGATGTGCATTAGGGCGTGTACTGTTGTGTCCGCGATTTCCGAATGAATGTCAGCGGTATCCCTGAGATGCCCCTTTACATTGTGCATATAGTTTGCGATCGTTAACGACTTGATATTTGAAATTCACTGCTTAACGACGTTTTAGCATTTTATATTTTCAACTTTATATATATTTATATATATATGTCCTTTGTGAAGTATTCAGGTCTGAGAGCCTACCATCACATATCGTTCAATCGTACTCGTTTCCCTCATCCTCACATTACAGCCTGGTGTTGAAGGACATTGACATGAATATCGAGGACGATGCCAAAGCCTTTTGGGCCAAACGAAATACATACAAATTTGTGGTCATGTTCGATCAGTAAGTGACAGTCGGTTCTGTGCTTCCCTGCTTCATTCTGCTTCGCTTATTACTAAGACCTTGTTACAGCCGTATAGTTTAGCAGTAGCGCGCTACAGCTTTGGGAGTCAAGTATTGATAGTTTCTCGTGACTATTCTTCCGTATGATCCACGATCGAGGTACTATAGCTAGAGTATCATTCGCTCGCTATCCAATTAATTACATACCTCTGTATACGAAGGAACACATCGCAGGATTCGAGCACTGCGTGGCACTCGAACTTCCCCAGACTGGACAGAATACTCCGAGAGGATGGTGTCTCAGATATATATATAGTATGTTTGACCTGCCCTAGAGAGGCTTAATGTATTATGATTCGTACGAACACTTATTTTCGTTCCCATTGTCATACGAACGCACATTTTTATTTCCATTGTTTTGCTTCTGACCGATTTGAGATGGGTGTTGGCACTGTTCCACCCTTAGTCTGCTCACATCCTCCTTAGATATTCTTTGCATTCGCAGATTACTTGTTATAAGTTTTCTTTATTATGGGGTGCTTCTGGCGTATGTATGTATCTTGAATCCTCTACGCTCGTTAGAACGGCAAGTGCTCCAGTACTGCTCAGCACGTAGCGTCAAGTGGAGCGGCTATTGGAGCCGTACATGACCGTTGCAAGACACTACATCAAACCGTCGAGCAGTATTTTTAGTGATTATATTAGCACATAGATCTATATACAGCACTTCCATGTGCACATAAACATAATTTCGTAGCCTATCTACTGTAACGTTACACAGGACTGACTGAAGACATGGACTTCTGCTCGGTGTAGTTTGTTTAGATTCGATGCACTGCACGTAATGCGATAGTAGAATTGTATTGATCCTGGCTCGGTCCGGCACGGGAAAAATGGAAGCCACGTTTTATCTGCGGGTGTGCTCTTGAATTTTAATTCTTTTATCCTTCACGAGCTTTGTTCAACGACTGATGTGCCATACTACGTTACTACTGCATTCAACAGATGAACGGCGGCTTTCGCGAGTGGTATAAGTTGTATCCCACGCAATGTGACGGTACGAATCCGACCATGGCACCGGTCACCAATAGAGACGCCGCTAAGATTGATTACCCGACCGTTGGTAAGAGCATGACACAATTGTGTTCAGCAGATGCCTGTGAGGTATAGTATATTGCACTTGTGAGTATCACGTGCCCCGTGATGGTCAATCATCTACCTGTCTCCCTTACCGATTCTTCGGGTATCTTCTTGTGTTTACAAACACTTCTGCCTTACCTTAACAAAACACCGGTATCCTTCCGTTTCGGAGCCTCACATGGATTTGTAGCATGTGTAGTATGACTCATGAACAGAAGTATCTACCTGGTTTTCTCAGCACACATGTTATAATCGTGCAATATCAACGTATTGCAACAGTCTGGCCCCTTTTGTCTTCGCAAAAGTGAGCTCGATGTAACCCTGAGAAAGTCGCCCTTTTCAATTACATTCCAAAAACATACAGCGTAGATATGTTCTGGCGTTCTTCTCCTGGCTATTTCCAATATACCATGTCTGAACAAATACCACATTAAGAAATGCAAAAAAACATACTCCAAGTTTTCCTTTTTTTAAATAGCTGCACCCGATATTATTCTATCAAAACTTGTGTATTGTAACAGGTACTTTGAATCAACTGAGTATGTCCGTGCCTGCCCATAGCGCCAAAAGCGCCCACCTGTACCCAATGTTTGGAACAGGCACCAGGCCTATCTCCGAGTACGAAACTGATACGGACGAATCGAGTGATGAAGAAACTCCGGCTGCAGGTATGTATACGTATGTACACGTCTTTGAATGGCCCATACAATCCCTTCAGTCTTAATGAAGTGTTGTTTTCAATCCGGCGGCTGTAGTAGGTACGGATATACTCCCGGAAAATTCATGTAGTGGTGTTTGCACAGAGGCGCACCCCTTTAACCTCGTTATGAGGTCAATGCGTGGTCGTATATTCATAAATTCATTCACAAGTTTACCACTGTAAGAGAGGTCTTTACTGGCCGAAGCATTCATTTTGCGCGAGGAAGAAGTTTGTTTGCGCCCATGCTCACGTTGGCTTCTTGTCAGTCTCCGTATGACTATCCAAGACATTTGTTTATCAGTACCCGTATAACTATCCAAGACATTTGTTTAGCATACCAAAATGGTTGGTTGATTGTGGTACAGCGTCATCATCGTATCAGTATGTATATGCAGTTCACGCTCCTGTCCAACTATGTGGGCACGTAAGCCTTTGTGCACGCTGGAATGGTTACTCGTGGTATGTTGCCAAAAGAGCTCTTATCCATTTATAGCTGATATCCAAGTTTACTTCATGCCTAGTGGGAGTCTCTGCCCCCGCCGTCATCAGAACTAGTAAGCCATCGCTTCAAGGACCACCGTTGCTGCCCAAACCAACTACGGTAAGTAAAGCCACATATTCTGCAAGCACACGTGTGTGTATATCTATGTTACATTTGTGTAGCGGTAAGTGTATCGCTGCATCCGCCCTTGCAGGTTGCCACGTGCCAGAGTTTCCGCTATGACTGACATCTGTATCCGTTTGTCGATATATTTCATGTGACTGAACGCATTTATCTGTGTATTGTGCCCTCGGAAAGGGCAGAACATGCCCATGCACGTGACACATCTTTACATCAGCTGTCAGCTTCGACTTGCACAATTCGTATATCGACATCACCAAAGCGATACTTGTTCAGATGCAATCAAGATTCGTCAAAATGTCATAAATGAAGAATTTGCATTAGGTTCCTTTTGACGTTTCTCTCATACATTTCTGTCATTATAGCCCAAAGTCAGTGCTCCTCCGATACCTGTGTCCGCTAAGCCAATCACCGCCCCAGCAACCGTGGTGGCGAAGAAACCCAGGCGGCTAAAGACCAAGAAAATCGGTATGGTGCTTGCGCTTGGTATTCTCACGAATAGCCGAGTTCGGGTGTTCGTATTATATGGACTGACATAATTTTCTGAACAAGCCTGCACGCTTGTTTGTCGATTGGAGTATTTCAGGTCCGTTGATATGTGTATTAGTTGTTGATTGGTGTATCGCCGCACTGTAGTGTGTTTGCCCATGGCGGGTGTGTGTTCGCATACTCCCTGACTGGGGCTATCGCACTTGTATACCAACATATAATCCACTGTGCAGAGGTCGGCCTGAAGTACACTCACGCGTCTGCACGGAAAGTGTAATCAAGAACCGAACGCTACACATGTACGCACAATTTAAATTACAAACGAGAGCCATGCCTGCCTACAACTTACCACACCAGTGACAGTTTGTTCGTGATTTTGTGTGGTGCAAAAACTGTTGGCGGCACACAAGACCATTGCCTATAGGAGGGCTTACATGCACACGAGTAAATAACAACACGTGTCTCATACTGGATTGACCAGTCCTTAACCTGAACATCAGGCTGTAGCGTATTTACATGGTTGCGGTTTATTCAAGAGGTGAGTAGACGCCACAAAGTTTACACAAGCCGCACTCAATGGCTGAGGGCAGTACCGTACGAAAAGGAGGCGGCCAGAATAAGCAGAATGAATGTGGCGGGGCTGTGCTATACCAACGTATCCATTTCCATGTCGTTCACTCCATACTCAGCGGAGCTATTCACATCTATCTTAACTATCATCACTTCTACGCACGCATCGGTTACAGCGGATCCTTACAACGTGCACACACTGACGGGCGCACTGCCGCAGTACGTCAAGAGGGCCGGATTGGTGGGGCTGGTGAATGTGGGCAACACGTGTTACCTCAACTCCATCATACAGTGTTTGAGCAACACCATGCCGTTCAGCACCCACTTCATCCAGCAGACGTACAGAAAAGATATCAACAGAAACAATCCGCTGGGAACTGGGGGTCAGGTACGTATGTGCCTGTATTAATCAGAGCCGACAGCCATTTACCTCGTTTGTGATATGTCGAGATCGCCGGTTCTATAAAGGTCACCCCGTAGGGATAATGCGTTGCATATCTACTCAGTTTCCAGTAGCAGCTCGATGTATTGCCACTGTTGTGCATGATACGAGGAGAAAGTGTTTTGCGAGCTTGTCCGGACTTGTGTTGCATAGAGGATAGGTTTTTTGTGGCTCTGCGAAAGTTACGATGGGATGTAAATGCGGTACCGGTCTTCAGCACATTATATATATATATATATATATATTC